AGGATTTACAGATAAAGCTACAGTACAGCTTGTTTCCAATCTGGTCCTCTTAAGTTCTAGAAATATATTACATCACGTGATTACAATACACATGCAGTTAACATTCTTTAGAAACGTAGGATATACAGTCACAGATGCGTCACAAACACACAACATACACAGATACATCACATCAGAATCACACAACATTAAAAATCTATAACTATCAACAGTATTAAAGTTTTATATTAATATAATCTTTTTGTGTTCAATTCAGTCATCTTAGCTAGTCTGTTCTAAAAGTGTTCTTTACAGAACGATCTAAACCCGCGAGTTGTGGAAAGTTTTTTTCCCACGTCTGGAAATTTGTTCCACAAAGAAGGAGCCAGAAACGAAAACCTGCGTTTCCCTGCGTTGGTCCTGGCTTTGGGGAGGAATAGGTTATTGTTTTCTACTGCCCTTGTAGAGTGGTGGTGTGTCGGCTTTTCTACAAGCGTGCTGAGGCAAGGTGGGCTAATTTTGTGGAAACAGTTGAAGGTTTGTAGAAGGATGCGATGGCGGATGGTATAGACTATAGGGATGATTTGAAGGTGTTGGAACAAAGTTAAGGATGGAGTAGTGTAGTCCGCGTTTACGAGAATTCTTGCAGCTCTTTTTTGGGCGTTGGTTAATTGACTAAGCGCATCTCCAGAACAGTTACCCCACACACTGCAGCAATATTCTAGAGTTGGCTTGGCCAAACTGTTGTATAAGACAAGTAAAAGTTCAGGTGTTAAGTAGGGTTTAGCACGTTTAAATAGTTCTAGTTTGGTGTTGAATTTCTTTATAACAGCAGAGATGTGTTCATTCCAAGTTAGGCAATCATCCATGTGTATTCCAAGAAGTTTTCCAGAAGATGATTGGGATAGGATGGTGCCACAAATGGAGATGTTAAGAGGCTCGGATGTGGTCGCGAGTTTTCTCTTCGTTCCAAATAGAATAACTTTGGTCTTGTCAGGATGTATTGCCATTCTATTCTCAGATGCCCAGGTGGCGAGGTTGTCAGCTCCAGATTGCAAGTGTGATCGTACCGTATTGATTGTTGGTCCAGAATTGGCTAAAGTAGTGTCATCAACATAGATATAAGAATTGCGTTGAGTATTTGCATAAGGGATGTCATTGATAAATAGGATGAAGAGGAGAGGCCCAAGAGATGAACCTTGCGGGACGCCACTGCGAATTGGTAAGAGATCTGAGGTTGAGTGGCCAATTGAGACGAGTTGTTTCCGTTTTGTCAGGTAGGATCTGAACCATTGTAGTGTTGCGTCTTTAAGTCCGTAGATAGCAAGTTTCTGTAGGAGAAGTTCATGGTTTATCAGGTCAAAAGCTTTCCGGAAATCTACTAAAAGTACTCCGGCCACTTAGTTCACCTTTGTCCATGCTATGAAGTAACGTGTTTGTAAGTTTCAGTAACATTGTTTCACAGGAATGAAGGGGCCGTGATCCAAATTGTGAGCTTGTAAGTAAGTTGTATTCGTTAAGATAGCTTATGAGATGTAATCCGTAATAGCGTTCCACGATTTTTGACAGTACTGACAATTGACTGATTTTTGACAGATTGGTCTATAGTTATCTTTATCTTGGCGTGAACCCTTCTTAAAAATTGGCGTAATTTTGCTAATTTTCTACTGGTCTGGAAAGATGCCTGAGGTTATGGTGGAGTTGTAGAGGTACAGAAGTGATGGAAAGAGATCATTGCAGCCGATCTTAAGAAGATGGGCGTTGATGGCATCAATTCCCTTTGCCTTGTGACATGACAGGTTGTTGATCTCGTTGAATAGATATTCAGCAGTCATAGACGGAATTGTAAATTGGTGGTCTTTGCAAAGTCGAGTGTCCACAAAATTACGCAAGGCATCGAAATTAGGCTGGTGATGTGCAGATTCTTTGATAACAGTGTTGGCAATTTGGGAGAAATGGGAGTTGAAAATGTTCGCGATTTTTTTTTGGATTCGTGACCAAATCGGTGTTATCAAGTATCTTATTAGATAATCAAATACCAATTAGATTACTCATGTAGTTGCTGTGTAGCTGAAGACATTCTATATACGGTACTGATTCATACTGACTAAATCTAAAAGCGCATTGATTTTCATATTAGGAAGCATTGTTAATTCCACATTTCAAATATATTGCATTCAGTAACGCGCTGCTACTGGATGATTATAATTATATGACATATTTGTAATTCAAATGTCGAAATAAAAAAGCTTGGCTTTTATCGCAAGCACATTTGTCATATTACATGCATGCATATATTTTATTAAAATATATGCTCAGGTCTCAGGATCATATTTGCAGTCAGTGGTAGCCGTAAGACCCTTGCATCCATCTATGTTTAGGCTATTTATCATTTATAGACCTGGAGCGAGGAGGATTCGGCGAAATATTACCCGAAGTGATGATATTTCCCGAGGGGCTTTGCCCCGAGGGAAATATCATCACTGAGGGTAATACTTCGCCGAATCCCCCGAGCGGAGGGTCTATAAATCATATATTATACCGAAAATTAAAAGCCTCCAAGTTGAGAATTAAAAATTTGACACATACCTTCGTGAATACGATGTTTTATTTTCGGATTAACGCAAGTGTCATCGCTTTTCTTTCGAATCACATATCGTTTGCAATATTAATGACAAAGCCCCAGGTATTAGGTTTGAAAAAGCCCCGGGTTTTAGGTTTAAAATTGAATTATTCATCACTCATTAATACTATTTATGTTTTGTCGGCCATCTTGTTGCCATGCGTGTTGTCCCGCGTGGTCTACGCGAATAATGTTCCAACCCATGTTTCCCGGGGAACATGGGGTGGAACATTGTCAAAAGGAACGCAGGCTCGCTAAGTGATGACGTAAGGCGTGATATCGCGATTAATTTCAAGCTCACGTGGCACAAACTAAGCTTCCTGATTAGACAATTTGAATTTGAGGTATAATATATCCCATATATATAACGGCATATATAACTCATAAGGACTTATTAGCAGTATTATACCTTTTTCACTTTAATTCTTGTCCGTTGCATGGACCAAGATCCAAGCACGCGATGGACCAATTTCCGTGACTGCTCAACACACTATAGTCTATACTGACTACGTATACACTATCGCCACAAATCAGTAAATGTGCCCCATTGACCATATGATTCGTTAAGGTTTATGAATTATGGTCGTGTCATATCCACGTAATTGCGCTTACGTCGTTTGGTCACGAT